GGGGACCGGGAAAGGGGCCGGGCCGCGCCTCGGCCTGGGGGCGGGGGTGCGGCCGCGGGGAAGGAAGTCGGCCGAGGGGCGGGGGACAAAAGGCCGGGCAGCAGGCCGGGGGGTCCCGGGGAGGGGCCGGCCGCGCGGAGGACAAACAGCTGGCGAGTGTCAGGGTCTGGCCGCCTCCCGCCGCCCGCGCGCACCTACCCGCGCCCGGGACGCGCATTTTCCTCCCTCGCCACGAGTTCACCTGGGACTTTGGAAATAACTGCGGCGGGCGCTGCGCTCCAGCCTTGTCATTTGCAGGGGATGGGTGGTGGGTGGTGGGCGGCGGCGGCCGAGGAAGTGAACTTATTTTGTTCCTTCACAAAGACTGGACCGGGCGGTGCCTTTCACGCCGGGAAGGTCCGGCCGCGGACACCTCCTCGGCTGCATTGTGTGCGTGAGGCGACACCTCAGGCCCTGGGCAGTAGTCATTGCACAGAAAATGCACCGCCCCGAGTGTCTTGCTGCTGTGATGAAATGGAAATTTAAATAAAAGGTCGAACACGTGCGTTCGCTGGGAAGTATTGACCTGGGTGTTACATCACCAGCAGCCAATCAGATAACTCCAGTCGTGTTTATACTTCTACAACCACCTTGTGAGTATTACAGTATGTCATAACGTTATAAATATTAGGCAGGGTTTTCCCCAGCAGCTAGGAGGAGCCTGCTCCTACGGGCGTCGCGCTCGGCTCCGAAGAGCGTGTGTAACTGCGAAGATGGTATTTCAAGGCACGAATTAATTTTTAAGACTCTCGTAGATGTTTCTGTTGTATATGGAATTTAAAATGATTAGCACAGATTGCACAGGGAGTTGAATCTCCCGTAATTATAATCTTGGTCAGGTTTTTCAGGAAAAGGTTTTCCCATTTAGAGCCCTTACACCCCTTGACTTTAAAACTTTCTAATATACAAAATTCAGCAGACTTAGCCACATTTATCAATTTGCAAAGGTAGGCAAATTTTTTTTTTTGTTCAAGCCTATTTCAGGTAAAAAAAAAAAAAAGTTGTCAAACAGAAGACTCTTTCAAGATGTATACTTGTCAGAAGTTGAATTACAAACTAGCAACAAAATATGTCCCAAATAATTGTTGACTAAGAAAGATACTTATGGCACCGTTGTTTCTTACATTAAAAAATCGTATTAGGATAGACGTTAAAAATGAGAATATACATGAACTCTTTACAGTTATGGATGATATAGAAAGAGGGATTGTTAGAGACTACCCTCCCACATAATATATTTTTTGGGGGTTTTGTTTGTTTTGAGACAGGATTCACTATGCGGTTTGGGCTGGCCTTGTGCTCACTTTTTCAGGCCCCAGGCTGATCTTGAACTGGAAGCAACCCTCCTGTTTCAACCTTCCCAGTGCTGGAACATATGTTTTATAATAAGCACATGTTAACAATTTTTAGAATCTCTAGTTTTATGGTTTTTGTTTCTTCATTTATTATTTTAGAGTTTTTCTATTTTAAAAATAACTATCTGAGCCTTACCTTCATATAATATGAAACACAGTATTTTTAAAGATTAGCTATAAAATCAAATTTATGTGACAAGTTTGTAAATATAACTCATGCACATCCAGACTTAGGTATGGGTTGTATAGATTTATTCGAAGCCACTTTCACTTAATTCACTCTTAATTTTAGTACCTGTGTGAGTAATGTTATGTATCAAACAAAAAACCCCCATTAGTTCCACTTTACAGAGTGAAGTAATTTCAAATTAAATAATGATGCTATTGAGCTGAGAAGATAGCTCAGTGGTCTAAGCATTTGCCTGGCAAGTGCAAGAACCTGGGTTCAATCCCAGCACAACATGCCCTGCTGGCCCTGGAACCAGGGGCTCAGTGCCAGCCACTGAAACTGAGTGTGATGGTGCACCACTGTGAGCCCGAGCTGTGTAGTGAGACCCTGTGCAAATAAATAAATACATATATGTTAAAAAAAGAATGATGCTACTGCCAGGAATAGTGTTTCTCTCCTGTAATCCCAGAACACTCCAGGCCAAGGTAGAAAGATCATTGCAAGTTTGAGGCCAGCCTCGGCAACACAATGAGCCTGAGGCTAGCCTGAAAAAATAAAAAAAATGACATTACTACCTTTTCGCAAAAAAGCAAGCTTTGAATTATTTTTCCAGCAATAAGCATATTGTCATCTTGCCACTAGCAGTCAATAATCATGAAATTCTAATTTGTGGAACATTTAGAATAGTGGAAATTTGTGACTTACACCCTACGAAAACTAGAGTTCTGCCTACTGTGGCAGTATATAATACGTGTCCTGTATGGAGTCATGTAATAATACTATGCTTTTTCCTTCATGTGTTTTTCAGTTCTAGGCATTAGGCATTTTGCAAGTAATTATTTATTATATTTTAACCATCAACCCTACCCCCTATTTTTGGTGGAACCAGGGTTTGAACTCAGGCCCTTGTGCTTGCCAGGGAAGCACTTATTCCACTGAGACATCTTCCTGCCCCATTTTTTTTTTTTTTTTTTTTTTTTTTAGTAATTGGGATTTTTTTGGGGGGGGCTGACTCAGGATGGGGCTGGCATGGTATATGGTGCCAGGGATTGAACCATGGTCCCTGGTGCCTGCCTAAGTTTTGCCTAAGCAGGTGCTTTAGACTGCTGACCTATTTTGCCAGTCCCTCTACCCCCTTTAAAATGTGTAGTTACCACCCAGTGTACCTGCACACAGCTCTAATCCCAGAACTCTGAGAGGCTAAAGCAGGAGGATCGCTGTAGTCAGCCTGAACTACATAGACCTTGTCTCAAGAGGAAGAAAAGAGGTGTTGCTAAAGTTAATTGTTCAGCTAAGATTACAGTGATAGAAGGCAAAAAAATGGATTTAATTTTATTTCAATTTTAAAATCTTATTTGCATTCCGCAACTACTAAATTCAAATCTGCTGCCTCTCTTGTCTCCTTAGTACATCATAGGTGTTCTTATCAAGTGATGCTGCTGCTACTTTTTTTTTTTGTTTCTTTTCTTTGTTTCTTCCCTTTTTTTTTTTCTTTTTAGAAGTACTTAGAATCAGCCAAAAATGTGTGAGTTGATAATGTTACAGGACTGCATATTTCTCAGACACCTATTTTACCTAATTGTTTGAAGACAGGGTCTTGGGGGCCAGGGAGATGGCTCAGTGGAATAAGTGCTTCCCTGGCAAGCTCAACGGCCTGAATTCAATCCCTGGTTTCGTTAAAAAAAAAAAAAAAAGAAAGAAAGAAAGAAAAAAGGAAAGCAAAAAAAAGGAAGACAGGGTCTCACTATGTAGTTCAGGCGAGGCTTGAATTCACTGTGTAGCCCAGGCTGGCCTTGAACTCATGACAGTCCTTCTGTCTCGATTTCCCAAGTACTGGGATTATAGCCCAGCCAGGCTCCAGCACACCTGGCTCTTACCTAATGTTTTATAAAATACTCTAAATTACATTGAACCGATCAGTTTATAGTAGGTTGAATGGATACAAATAAACAGTTTTGATTCTATGACTTCTGAACTAACAGCCAAATAGTACCAGTGAATGGGGTGTGTGCATGTGTGTGTACCTGTGTGCTTATGTAATTTTTCATATACGTTATGTGTGTGTGCCTTTGTGCATTTATCAAGCTATTGTTCCGTGAACCTAAAGGAAGGTCTGACACCCTAGATATCAGGAAGCTCACAGGCTATTCCTCAGAGCAGTCTCAGAGTGCATACCCTGTAACAAAGGAACTTGAGCAGCAGAAGGGGATCTCCTACTCTGTAAGTGGAGATTTTAGGAATTCCCCCACCCCTTCCAGTCTCCTGCTAGCAAGCAGGAATCTGTTCTCCCCTCAAACCCCTAAACTTACAGTTAGGGTTCTACCATATTTAAGGGAATTCCCCTTTATGTTTACCAGGGGAACCCCTCAAGTATGGGGTATCCCCAAGCAGTTTGTCCCCTAATTTCACTTTAGTCTCAGTAAAGCTGCAGGAGATAGTGCTGGATGCCATGGCACCTTTCCTCTGAGATGAAGATTAGCTCCTAGACCTTGCTTGGCTCATCTTTGGTCAGACTCAACTATCCTTTGCCAAAGCCTTGGTGAGGTCTTGTGCTTCTCTCACAATTGGCTCTTGGTTCTGAGAGGACAGCCTACGGTTCCATCTGTGACATTGGTACGGCTTAGCCACCAGAGTGAAGTACATCAGGGTAGGGGACCGTCTTCCGTGCCCCCTCCCCTGGTCCCAGCCTGGCATAAAGTGGGTGAATAGTGGATGTTTACAAGATGATTCACTGTATCTTCCCTAGCAATCTTTTTTGATGGGCCCTTTTCTTCT